CACCTTTCAATCATTATGAGAAATCAAATCAAACCAATGACATTTTATCATGAAATATACATCATAATTGGTGGGAATATTTATTATTTGCTTTAAGTAAACATGTAAATAAATCTATATTAAGTAAATGTATAAATGAATCAGTAAGCGTATAAACTAAAAGCACAATTCATGAATCGGTATGTTGATTTTAATTATTAAAATGATTCAATCAAATTCAATTCAGTTTTTTTTTGTTTGTTTATATAAATCAACAAAACTTGTTGAAACCGGTTTGAATTAAAAAAGAAAAGGAAAGAAAAAAAAGAAGAAAAAAGAAAAAATTAGAAAATAAATAACTAAGAATAGAATAGTGTTTATTTACTCATTCGCTTAATCAAACTGAGGTATAATTATTAGTGAAACTCAGAACAAATTACGACAGATAGATAGATAGATGTGTGGATAGATAGATAGATAGATAGATAGATAGATAGATAGATAGATAGATAGATAGATAGATAGATAGATAGATAGATAGATAGATAGATAGATAGATAGATGTGTGGATAGATAGATAGATGTGTGGATAGATAGATAGATAGATAGATAGATAGATAGATAGATAGATAGATAGATAGATAGATAGATAGATAGATAGATAGATAGATAGATAGATAGATAGATAGATAGATAGATAGATAGATAGATAGATAGATAGATAGATAGATAGATAGATAGATAGATAGATAGATAGATAGATAGATAGATAGATAGATGTGTGGATAGATAGATAGATGTGTGGATAGATAGATAGATAGATAGATAGATAGATAGATAGATAGATAGATAGATAGATAGATAGATAGATAGATAGATAGATAGATAGATAGATAGATAGATAGATAGATAGATAGATAGATAGATAGATAGATAGATAGATAGATAGATAGATAGATAGATAGATAGATAGATGTGTGGATAGATAGATAGATGTGTGGATAGATAGATAGATAGATAGATAGATAGATAGATAGATAGATAGATAGATAGATAGATAGATAGATAGATAGATAGATAGATGTGTGGATAGATAGATAGATGTGTGGATAGATAGATAGATAGATAGATAGATAGATAGATAGATAGATAGATAGATAGATAGATAGATAGATAGATAGATAGATAGATAGATAGATAGATAGATAGATAGATAGATAGATAGATAGATAGATAGATAGATAGATAGATAGATAGATAGATGTGTGGATAGATAGATAGATGTGTGGATAGATAGATAGATAGATAGATAGATAGATAGATAGATAGATAGATAGATAGATAGATAGATAGATAGATAGATAGATAGATAGATAGATAGATAGATAGATAGATAGATAGATAGATAGATAGATAGATAGATAGATAGATAGATAGATAGATAGATAGATAGATAGATAGATAGATAGATAGATAGATAGATGTGTGGATAGATAGATAGATGTGTGGATAGATAGATAGATAGATAGATAGATAGATAGATAGATAGATAGATAGATAGATAGATAGATGTGTGGATAGATAGATAGATGTGTGGATAGATAGATAGATAGATAGATAGATAGATAGATAGATAGATAGATAGATAGATAGATAGATAGATAGATAGATAGATAGATAGATAGATAGATAGATAGATAGATAGATAGATAGATAGATAGATAGATAGATAGATAGATAGATGTGTGGATAGATAGATAGATGTGTGGATAGATAGATAGATAGATAGATAGATAGATAGATAGATAGATAGATAGATAGATAGATAGATAGATAGAT